GGGGGGGGGGGGGGGGGGGGGTAGAGGTTCTCTCATTAGAACTAGAGCAACCAACAATAAGCACTGCTCAAACTCACCTTCACGAGATTCTTTTTTTTTTCATCGGAACGTTTTAAAACCATACTCTGTTCCAACATAACTTGGCGAATGGCCAAGGCTATTATGACTCTAACGAGCAAATCGGAGCGTAGGAGCGAGGTACGTCACATTGTACCGTCGGCATGCACTCCAGGCTGTCACTACAAGGTGCTCTGGAACGGAGTACAGTGAGAAATGAAAATGGTATTCCGCGGAAGATTGCGGTTTATAAATCCAATTTCGCTGTTGATGTTAATGTTGATTTTTATTTATTTTTTTATTTCAGCAGCTAATATTTATTAAAAAAAAAAAAAAGATTGTACATTTAAAACTTCATATTCGTGGGACGGAAGTACCTGCCGCAACCAGATGACTGCAGTTTCTGGCCATCGCCAGGAAGAAAATCCGCAACCCCTTCCCTCCAGTCAGATCATCTCGTTTTGTCATCTCCACCTCCCGTGTGCCTGCTTTTTTGCCTCGCTGTCCTTAAACCACAGCGCATCTACTAAATCAGTCCGGCCTAACTCGGCACCTGCAAAACCAAAATGCCAAATTACTAAGAAAAAATATCCGTTTTTGAAAGAGACTTCGATGCCTCAAGAACTCATTCAGCTCGTGAAGAACGGTTTCGCCTCAAGCCCCTGGCGCACAAAGCAACTAAGCGATGAACTCTTTCGCATCACAAAATGACCCTAAAATGACCCCTTATAGGTTTTTCACGAAGAACTCTTTTAGGGGATGCTTAAAATAACTTTTTAGGGACAAGCCGAAGAACCCCTAAGGGTTCTTTTACCACCAGACGTTTTGGAGCGTACAGCGCGTTTTGCCGCTTCAGCGCATCCATTGGTGATCGTGCCTTGCGTGACCTGTAAGTTCCCCGAGACTGATTGAGTTTGCCTCCCCAGCTTCCCCCGTGTCCCTCTCGTTTTCCTTAGCCCTCTTCTTCCAATTCGTGGACTGCGCCCAATCAGTTTTCTGGTATGTTTTCTTCATTTTATGTCGACATTGGTATAGAAACAGTCGAAAACTCTTTGTACCCATTGAATCTCATCCGGATGAATGGATAGACGAATCTAGGGTGGTTGTTCCCTTTGGGTCGGGCGGTGCCTCGCGCCACCTAACCAAATATTACCCCTAACATTACACCGGGTATTCTCTACGTCACTTTAATCGTGGTTGATCTGGATGAGCATCGTACCGGCGTGCGGTCGTGTATCACTACTGCGTGAGCACGTTAAAGACCCCAGGTTAGTCGTACTGCACTGGCAAAATTGCTCATCTACAGTGTAAACCAGTGTCGCCTCATCCTGGCAGACCAACCTTACACTGTATAAACACTAAACGTACAATTTGACTTTTTTGCTGCCTACTCTTCCCTCGATTTCAAACACCTTCTTTAACGCTCTCTTACTCCGACCTAACCTCTGCTGAACATCCTTCGTACCGTGGCCCTCACCGAATCCCAGTGCTCTGCGCAAGACGGGCTCGGCATTGGGTTACCAAACCCTTTACATTCAATATTCACGCGCTCTGGCGCTTCAAATTTCTATCCACGCATATAATGTGTTCTCAAAAGAAAAACAAAAAGAAAAAAGCTTTAAAGGCCGCTGTACAAACGGGACGTTCTGCAGGGAAGAACCTTCTCTCCCGAAGCTGGAGACGGGGAGGGAAAGGGCCAGCGTTGGGTGAAAAGGGTGTCTAGAGAAGGGGATTAGCCTCGGGGCGAGGCCATCCTCTCGAGAGGGAGTGGGGACGGAACATAGCTGCCGTTGGGGTTCCGGCTACCAGGTGGAAGATAAGCTTGTCAAACGGCGACCTCGGATGCGAGGACGGGCACGTCAGAGAATTTGAAAATAGCTGCTTGATTAGCTGGACGACCCAGTGCGGTCTACTGGCTCTAGAAGGTGACTCGAATGAAGAAAACTCGTTTTGCTCCAAAACTCTAATGGTGAATTCAGCTCGCAGATCTCGAGCGCTCCAAAAGCGCTCCATTTGGAGCGCGCATATTCCGCTCGCAGATCTGGCTCAAGTTGGTCATCTTCCGCTCGTAGATCTCTGGCAGCGCCCGCTCCACGGAGCGCCCCAAACTCCGCCGAACTTGCTCTGCGGGGTTTCACAGATCTCTCCGGAAGTTGACAGAGCGACCCACGTGATTTCCGTCTAAATCGACGATGCGCATGCGCGGCGAGGTACGAGAGATCGGCGGGCCGGTCGGGTCGTGGAGTTGGATCTGTTCGGGTGCGTCGGTTGTTTACTCTGGATTGCGACGGCTCCAACGCTTTTACTTCGCGTAAATCAGGGATAAAAAGCCGGGAATGTGGAACGTGGCCAATCCTAAGCGCTGACTCTGTGATCGCGAGAGGAAGAACGAGAAAAGGAACGACAGAAAAGCCGGAGGCAGACGCAAGGTTAGGCCTATGCATTCTGCAGCCAGTGATTGTTTACCTTTTTGCACTGCACTCCGTCGGCGTTTTCCCGTGAAATAAAGCAAGAAGTGGTTAGGCAACGACCGCGCAAGTGATGGTTTGTTACCTCTGTGTTTATTAAAGTCGTACTACAAATCTGAACTCCACCGCTGGCAATCGCTGTCCGTGCCCCGCCGCTTCGAGGCGGCCGAAAGGTATGTGACGGTGCCGAACGCGGACGTCTTCGTTATTTGTGACATGGGCGCCGTGGTACGTATAGTTTCGCCCGGTCTGTGTCGCGTGTTACTTCTGCAGCTAAGCAGTGACAGTCGTCACTGGTCGTCGGAAAGAGAGAAGGGGTGGGAAGGGGTGTGGGGGAGGTCGCTCCAAAAATGCAAGTTTATCTTCCCCTCGTCGATTCGGAGCGGGTCCCACGGAGCGGAATTTTGCCTCCCTCGCGGATTTTGGAAAGCGCTCCAGATCTACGAGCGGAATTCACCATAAAAACATTCTGGAACGTGAACTCTTGCCACAAATAAAAATAACACATACATGAAAAACTACGAAGGCACCTAAGCTTTCTCCTATGATGTGAAAATGCGCGAGCATTACAGGCAGAGTTATGTTGGCGCAACTTGCAATAAAGAAAGAAAACAAAAAGTTATGTCGGCGCAACTAGGCGCAACGAATAGCGCGCTAGTTTCACGATCAAGAGGGCCTAGCTTTGAAACCGGGCAGGGGATGATTTTTTCTCGTGTTCTTTTTTTTATTTCGTCTATTTTTTTTGTTCGGTCACGTGACAATAAAAATCACATGAACAGAATTTTTTTTGGACACGTCGCCAGAGATTTTTTTTATTATTATTACTTCTTCTTTTCTTCTCTTTTTTTTTTTTTTCCTTTTTTTCGGTTTACGCTCCCTTTTGCAAAACTCCTTGCACCTATTTCGCGTTACATTAGCGTTAGCCAAATCATTTTATATATGGCAGGGAATTCTGCCGTACGTATCTTATGTTACTATTACCAACCCTGGCTTACAATACGCATAGAGAATTTCGTCCGGCAACCAGTTTGGGAATGACGAGGCCAAATTTGTGTTATAATTTTTTTGAGGTATAAGCATAATTTCGGCCTCGTTATCCGTCGGTCTCTATGATTGGCTCTTCAAGTATCTTTTGGGAAGGCAAACGACTGGCATTTTTAGTGTGCACGTGTGTCGACCAGAGTGAACATTGCTGAAGCGCCTCCAGTGTGATTTTGGCCGTAAATAACTGGAGGCCCCGGGCAAACCCACCCAAAGTAGAAAAGTATCTGCCTTTCTCGTTTCATAGAGAGCTATGAAAGGGACGAATCCCAGCCGAGTCAAACTAGAGGCTTGCAAACGCAATCGTGTTGACAATAGCTCCAAGGAGTTTGTATGACTCTCTCTGGCAGTGTGCAGAGGGTAAAGGCACGGAGGTAATATATGCTTTCGCCTAGTCACCTCGCAAACGGTTGGGTATTGGCTGCAGAGATCCATTTCGCTTTGTTTTATTACCGGGATTATAGCTTGATTTCTGTGTTCCTAATTTCACAGACAGAACGAAATCGCTTTTCTCGTGTGGCGTCACGGCGGTGAGACAGAAATGAATCAGTGTACCGGAATTCGACGCTTGTGCTCGTTCTATAGCGCTTCTAAAAACCGTGTGATCACGGCTGTCCAATTAACGTCAACAATGCATAAACTGCAGTTACTTGTACTCGTATTGCATCGTGAGGGAACGACTATGACTGGGTAAACAGGAATAGGAAGAATGGGTGCGTGTGATTTGTTGAAGTTTGAATCAACAAATCAAGCTTCAACGAATGCGATAGTATTGCATTCACTGAACCAGCTATATGAGTTTTCAGACGGTATATACCTTCCAAGTATGCGATTCGTGTTCTGCCAGTGGTGCCTCACCTAAATTAAAAAAGTAAAATCCACGTTGAAAAAAAAAAAAAAAAATGTTTACGGTGACTCGAGCCGCTCCTGCGCCGAATCATGTTTCACGTAAGCGTAACGGGTAAAAAAAAAGTGCTGCGGGAGTCACCAAGTTATAACAGTTTCTTACATATATATAATGTGTCCAATAAACATACCGGAACTTACAAAAACCATATAGTAGGTCGCAAGTTATAAATTATAAGTTATAATTTCTCATACCATCTCATATGTCTTGTTGTATGTTGAATAAACACTTTCATGGATTATTTTTTTTTTTTCCTTCGTTTCATAGTACGATAAAACGCAGCGGACCCTACGAGCGACCAGAGGCAATCGATAGCTGGGTGTATGTCAGGTGCCCTCCCGGTTGGGCGGAGCAACGCGGGGAGCGCGAACCCACGTGACACGATCCGAACGATGGATTGGCTCCGTTAGCTCGAAGTATTCGCCGAGGTTTATCCTCGCTCGGTTGAAACACGGCATATAGGACAACGGTGTAGTGGCACGCAGCAATGTGGTAATCCAAGGCGGCCCAGCGTAGGTGGCACGCACCCAAGGAAGCCGGGTGCCGGGCGGGGGCAGTCATCCACGGGCAGGCGGGTGCCTCCTCCGCCAGCAGCTGCAGCCTACCGCACCTGCAAGGACCGGGAAAGAGCAACGTGTCGATTATACACGAGTATTCGAGACAGGTCGGCCCACGCTGGTAAAACCCGCTGCTGGTGCTATACGGAGACAAAAAGTTCCAAAAAAGCGTCTTTGGCGCACGCCTCATTCCTTAAAATCGGCCGGAACAAAGGCGGGAGGATGCATCTGAAGGATAAACATATAGGAGCGAGATGCGCGAAGAGTGGACGAACTTGCACGACGTGTACACCAACCGCAGGGCTTTGGGTCCATGCGCGGCTTCTGATATTCGGCAGAGGAGAGCCAGTGCGTTTGCTCAGAATCTGTTCCACAGTCCCGAAGAATAGGTGGCAGAGTACAGAGGGCGACTATAGAAACAGTCACCTTTTCACCGCTTATCACCCGAGAGAAAAAATGTTCAGTCACTATAGACTGTGACCACATGTCCGGTGTCCGTTATTCCGCAGAATAGAGGTATTGCGCGTGCTCAGATCGCGTTCAACAGCCCAGTAGCGCGCAAAAAACGACTACTATACATCGCTATACTATACTGGAATGTAGAAACGTGTAGTAGGTCGTTCCAATAACTCCCGTAACGATACCGGAGCGCAAACACAATCCCGAAAGTTCCTAAAAGCAGTAATCAGTCGTGGGCGTGTCCACGCAGTATCGCCTGCCGATTCGTGTTCCTACGACTCAGTGTGTTTCGCGCGACGTCTCGCACGCAAGGTTCGACAACTTCCGGGGAAGGAGGCTGGATGCCTCAAACTCCGCCTCAGTACACATATACAACTGAAAAGAGAGAGCAGGAGTAACCCTTCAAGTGGGCGCCATCTGGCAGCTATTGCGACAATTCTTCGAGTCTGCGGCAACTTGGGCATGAAACCTACGCATATATGGAAAGATATAACATTTTATATCGTCCATTACGAGGAGAAGCCTGACTGAAAGCTCGCGCTAGAAGCTAAAGGTCCTGGGTTCGATCCCCGCCCCTATCGCTTTGATCTGGGTGAGCATCGTACCGGCATAATCACTACTGCGTCACGCACGTTAAAGAGGCTAATAGTCACACACCTCCGGCAAAGTTTCTCATCTACAGCGTGAACCAGTGTCGCCATGGGATATCTCAAAGGCAGAAGGACCGACCTCACACTGTGAAAACACTCACGCCTTTTTTTCTTTTTTGTTTGCGTGCTGTTGCGTTAGCGTTCAGCGTGAACTCGGTTGCAATCACACGCGCTCCGCACTGGAAGCGATGCTCAAAATACCTCAAAATCAGGGGACCGCGAAAGCGGACTTATGGGGTCTTTGTAAAGGGACTGCTATTAGCCTCCCACGAAAATAACTCAATAAGTGCGCAGTGGCGAAAGCAAATGCTAACGGGGTAATTTAGCTTCCTTTCGAGACACCGCACAAGTAAGTTACTATGCAAGCACGTGCCTCCCACATTAAAAACAAAAGAAAAAACACGTCATAATGTTTTACGTTCATTCGGAGAAGAAAACTAAAAACTAACCTGCAAATCTAAACCAGGGAGAAATAAAAAAAACGGGCCGATGTTTTCTAACCAGCTCGCCTTGCCGCATACTTTGCCTCCTCGTAACTTCGAGCGAGCGCCGACGGACGCTGCAAGGACTGCGTCAGCTCCGTAGTTTCCGGTGCTACGGGGATTTCAAGGATGGAGCGCGCGACGTCTTTCGCCGAAAGCCGACGGGTTGCTCTCGCAACCGCCTTCTCCCCGGGTGGGCGTAGCAAGTTATCTCCACCAGTCACGTCTCGAAGGAATAAAAACAAAAAAACGGTTCAAGTTGCCTCCACAAACCTGAGTAACAACAGCAACAAAATTCAGGAGAGAAAGAAAAAAAGTTGGTGTATGTATATGTGACTCACTGTACACACGGGGTCTGCGTCCTTTGAGGGTGGTTATCGGTACCGAAGAATGAAGTGGCGAAGTACGGAGTAGGCCAATAAAACGCGCCGCGTAGACGAATAATTCGCGGAACGCTAAAACTGCACCGGAAGGTGGGTTGCCCTCGCAGTGATGTCAGCATGCGAAAGTTCCAGCCCAACATAATTACCCCTGTCAAAGGTTAAAGGTCTTTTTTCTAAGAAAGTGTCACGAAAAAGGGCATTGTTTCATGTCAGTATTCTCGAAAAAAAAATGTTGGGTGCTCTTAAATGCCCGTCACACAACAAAATTGTTTTGCAAAACCAAAAAAAAAAAGTTAATAAATTGAATATTAGTTTTTTTTTAGCACTGGGGCCAAGTTGGTCGCCATGACGGCAACTTCAGAAGAGGCGAAATTGGTTAATTAAATTGCTAATTAACTAAAAAAAAATCGCAAGCAGTTTTTTTTTTTTTTTAGGGAAAAAGGGGGGGGGGGGGGGCTAATGTATTTGCAGAGCTTATGCCCGATCTCAATTCGGTCTAACCGCAACGTGAAATTTGGCTTAAAAAATTGTAGAGGGCATTACGGGGCGAGAAATGTAACGTTTCTCGCCCCGTAATGCCCTCTACAAATTTTTGTACAAGTGCCTGAAACCGAAACTAAGCTGACAACGAGCAGCGATGGCAGCCGGCTTCGCTTGCGGAGCCGGCAGAGGATGGACGGATCGACATCACTGACGCTCTTCCGCCTTGGGGGCGGAGGCGGGGGCGGGGGGTAACTTGGCCAGTGCAGTATCGACTGCTAACCTGGGAACTTTTAGCAGATTTTAACGAGCATCACACAACGATAGTCATAATAAAAAAAAAAAATAAAAAAAACAGTCAAAGATGACGGAAACAAAAATTAGGAACTCGGAGAAAGGGGACGGCGTTATTTCTGGCGATTGATTTCCGATTAGCGGACTTGGAACGGGATGACGGCGGGCTCCACAACGTCAAGCAGGCCGCTGGTCGATTCTCCATCGGAAGACCGCGGAGCCGGGCTCCAGTTTCAGGCTGGACTCGGGATCTTTCTCGGCGGTGAAGACCCGGTCTCAGTTGTGTCCAGCGGTGGGTTCAAAAACACCATTCACGGCTGTTCCAAAAAAAAAAAAATAAAAAAATAAAGATTCTGAAATTGTTGATTCTCGCCTAAATGCGGTAGCATTTAGCGCGGGTGTTCGTAGTCTTCGGAGAGCCAGATCCGCTCTCCCCACTTCTCCCGGGCATCGACGGTTTCGGATGCAGCCAACGACAACGGCGGCGCGTCGTTGAAAGAGTGCGGGAGAACCCTTTCCCTCTTACGTAAGGGGGAACGCGGACGTACGAACGGAGCGAAAGAGTACAGCGCGAGACACATGCGCGTCAAAACTGTCCGATCCGGCGTGCGAACTGTCGGGAAGATGGCTGCTCCGAATCGCCGCACCGGACGGTTCGCGACACATGGTTTCCGACGCGTCGTTGCGTCGCTCCGTTCAGCTCCGCCCAGTTTCGGGTGTACCTCTACCAAATGGATGGATGGATGCTAATGGCTATATTTATAACGGGCGGTAACTCGCGCCACCTAGCCTAGAAAACTAAAATACTTCCCTCGCCCTTCTTCGTTTTTTTGACTTTGAAACAAACGTAATATTTTTATTACATTCTATCAAAGTGTGCGTGTGTGAAGATTTTCTGTGAGGCTATTTTTGTGCTCAACATCACTTAATCGCGAAGGACCGCAGCGGACCTTAGAGCCATCCCAGCGAAACGAGCACTGCGTACAAATCACGTGACTACGTACCGCCCGCATTGCTGCGTCTCTCCCGAAACTCACATGACACATGACATTGGAATGGCTCGTAGCGTCCGCTGCTGTCCATCCTAAGGTGAAACGGAGTATATTCGGGTTTCGACGGGCTTGATCGGTCCCAGAAGGCAGGCTTGCTTTGGCGCTCGAAATCAGCAGCTCGTTTTGTGCGCGCGGGAAAACTCGATGGCGTCCGTTTCCTTCACAACCACGACCCGCCGCGCGTGACGCACAGCGCACCGCCACATCCGCTTCCCCGAACCACATGGCGCCTCCTCGCCCGATCGGTCCGAAAGTCACTTGGCAACATGACCTTCGCCATCCGTGCTCATTGGCTGCGGCCACTGCGGCCTTCCGAAAATCGGACCGTGCGTGCGGCGATATCTGGCAAGTTGGACGCACGCGGGCGCCGGACGGAGCTCCCGTCCGACGCTCCGGTGCGACGAAAACCCTCGCCCTCGGACGTCGTTCCGGCGGTTCGCACGTCGGATCGCATGGCTTTTTCGCGCATGTGTCTCGCGCTTACGGCGGGAGCGGTCCGAAACACGACGTCTACACCAAAGACGGCTGCACGAACCAGGGCAACACTAAGCACCAAGATGGCGGCGCTCACAAGAAAACCGGGGAACGGAGTGGCGATACCCTAAACCAGGGGTCGGCAAACCACGGCCCGGATGCGGCCCCCGGCACGACATCAAAAAGCACCCCCCCCCCCCCCCCCCATCCCCCTCTGTACCGCTTCCTCACACAGACTCAAGGACCACACGGCAGTTTTGACAAATGTTGTCGGCGTTAGCGAAAAAAAGCGACGAAGTAGGTTACTCGCTACTTGCGAATAAAAGGGACGCGATACCGACCTACCTCATCTCAATATAAGAAGGAACGCGTTACCCTTCCCGTTACCGATAAAAAGTAACGCACGTAACTCTTGCGTTACTTCTTATAACTATGAATGGACAATTTAAGTTTTATTGTTTTGAAAGCACAGGTATGCATCAGCGGCATATTTCAAGAAACATTACTCTCATGCAGAAATTGAACATAATGAATTTATCTATTTTACGGTCTCACCTTAATACCCACAAAATGAAAAAAAAAAACGTATATAAAAGAGCAAAAACTAAAAGATTCGCGTAGTTTCGCGCCTAAAAACACAAAAAAAAATTTAAGTGTAATATTTTTTTAAACTTTTGGTAAGAAGTATTGAGTAACGTTACCCGTTACTGTTTTGAAAAAGTAACGAGTCCGTTCCTACGCTACCGAACACAATAAAGCGTTACCAGTAACGCGTTACC